TCCTTTGGGAAGAAGGGCAGGATATAAACTGAAGAGATACATAAGTAAACAGGGTTCAAGGAAACCAACAGGCTTTCTCCTACATTCAAATTGTTCGCACGTAAAAAGCAAAGGTAGATCTGTTGGTCCATGGAGAAGGGGAAACTCCTCAAATCCACAGCTAGGCAATGCCTTTATTAAGGTCAGCTGAAAACATTGCAAAATTGTGGCAAGCTTTCGAGTTCTCAGGACTGGAAATCAGGTGGAATGCTACGCATAGCAGGGGGTGATGGGGAACAAGAAAAAAAATGGGGGGAAAGCCGACAACAGAAAGACCCAAAATTGGGCTGTGTGCTGTCTCTATGAGGTCAGCTTATGGACTCCGCTCCAAGATGGATATGGCTGGCTGGGTATGTCTCTCCCAGGTGATTATAGATATCAGGTTACTCACCTAATGAAGAATTAGCTGCTCCCCATTTCTGAGAAATCAGCTCTACAAACATCCTCCCACTCATTCCATTTCCTTCTTGGCTGAGATTGCACTATGTAAGAACCATTTATTTTAACCCAAAACTTTGGCAAGATAAAGGGGTTAGATGGGATCCCCCATAGCAGTGGAAATAGCCAGTCTTTGTCTGGAGGAATTGGATCAAAGCAATCCGTTTTTTGCAATCAATGGATTGGAACAAGTCTCTGGTATATAGTGAATGCCCCCACCCCCATTTTCTGTAGTATGTTGTTGCTGTTTAGTCGTTTAGTCGTGTCCGACTCTTCGTGACCCCATGGACCAGAGCACTTTGGTCAGACTCATGTTTGTAGCCTTTCTGTAATATAGTAGACCTATATGGCTACCATTCTGGAAAGCAAGTGAAAGTAATTTCACACACCCCAATTTGCTTCCAATTTGTTCTCTGACAGCTGGGGTAAAAAAAACACCCCACTTTCCCCCCACTCCAAGCCATGCAACTAAGAGAAAAGGTTCTTTAAACACACACCCAGAAATGGAAGGAAGTCAACAATAAGGAAGGAACTCTCATGGGACTGGAGCATCTGCTTGGCCACTGTGAGAAAAGGATGCTGGAATAGATGGACCACTGGCCTGATCTAGCAGGCTCTGCTTACGTTCTTATGTCCTCCCTGGGTAGCCCCCACCCTGGCATTGTGGACTCCTCTCCTGACGCCCACATATAGAGGAGGGGGCCTCCAAGCATATAGTTCAGGCACGTCCAACAGGTAGGTCGTGATCTACCGGTAGATCACTGGACGTCTGCAGTAGATCACTGGTAGATCATTGGCTCTCCCCAAAGATGCTGAACAACTGTGACGCCCCTAAAAAGAGTTCAACATTTTACCTCCTCAACAACTTTGACCCAACCCCCCCCCCAAAATGGGCCTTCCTCCTTCCTAAACAGAGCTCAACAACTTTGACCTGAACCCAAAAAAGGGGGTAGATCACTGCCAGTTTTTAACTCTGTGAGTAGATGGCAGTCTCTTGGGAGTTGGCCACCCCTGATATAGTTCACCATGCAGAGACTTCTCTGGAATTTGCAGCCCTGAACTATCAGGTTTGCAGAGTCCAGGGGAGTTTTCACATGTGCAACTGTGTGTGTGGAGACCCCCAAGCTATAGACTCCTGAATCGGGCTCTAGCCTCTGATTGTTGGCTGGTGGATCACGCAAATGAATTTCTTACCTCAGTGCAAACAATTCCTAATGGGATTCTCCCTCCTTTTCCTCCCTCTTGCAGGTGTTGACGGAGAATGGCTTTGGCACGATCACCACTGAGATCCGCGAGGCTCCAGAGTTCTATTACGCGGAAGAATATCACCAGCAGTACCTGAGCAAGCACCCTAATGGCTACTGCGGACTTGGAGGCACTGGGGTTTCCTGCCCCATCGGCGTCTAAAAACGATCTTTCCTCCTGCGACCACCTCAGCACCTTAAAGCAAGATGTCGGGCGCAAAGGGACACGCTCTGAATCTTTTCTACCGTTGGGCTGCAGTCTTCGGGGTGCTCTCCCCACGAGTGAATGCCGTGAAATCAAAGGCACCTGCTTGCAAGGAAAGGCTGAGAGCTGAGCTATACATTTAGCAGAGCCACACGCCTCGAGTCCTTGTTGGACTCCACCACTTCAGGATGCAGACGGGGAAAATCATTTTTGTTTCATGCTCCTCCATGTAAGTAAAAATCAGCTCATCGGATGCCTCAACTGGTGTACTGCCATAGCCTGGAATATTAGTTTTCTACGCACAAAGCGTTTGGGGTTTTTTAAAAAAAAAGAAAGGGGAGCATTCAAAAACGCACTCCCCCAATCTACATTCTGAAGTGGTGCAGTCCAGGAAGGCCTGTAATGTGTATTTTTGCGGAATCTACATGGCTCAGAATCCCAACACAACCACCTAGGTGGGCGTAGTCTCTGCAATGGAACCCAGGGATGGACTGAGTGTTTCACGCTGTGTGCCAACATTAGCCCTGGAATCTGAAGGGGGTCTGGAAGGCAAGGCTGTGTGTTCCCATGCAGGAGAGAGAAGAGATAGAAAAACAAGATGATGGGGGTGAAAGCCTTTTGAGAAGCAGGCAACAGAGAAAGAGCAAAATATCTGCACACCCCTCTAGCTTCTTTGCTCAAACTTGCAAAGCCCCCGTTCGGTTGTTCAAGCCCCGTTCACGGGGCTTGTTTTGCAGGGTTGGCGGGGATATTCTGGTTGCCCCCACCTTCTGTTGTTTCCCTGTCACCCAACCTCCACCATCCTCCATGCACCAGGGCTGAAGGTTTGAAGCGAGCAAGCTCTGCAGACTCCCCCACACACACAGGATTTAGAAGCCAGTCTGGTAGAGTTCTGTATCACCAGCATGACACCCCAGCGTGAGGAAAGCAGTGTTCACATCTCCCAACACCGATTCATGCAGCGGTTTAGGGGCGAGAATGTGACGAGAGAGGGTGGGGATGACAAGAATGGCCCTTCTTCTCCCACGATGGTGTGAATTCGTTTTGAAACTGGTGCCAGAGCTCACTTATATCAATCTGTGTTCAGCTAATGCCTTAATTCTGTGGGTTCAGGCAGCCACAGATCTTTTATGTGTGCTCTTGCAGAAGTTAATTCTGTCGGAAGGCATTTCGGGAGGGGAGCTACGTGGGCACAACTGAGATGCTTTTGCAGCTGTGGCATATAAAGCTTCTGCTATCCTCTCGGGGCGGGGAATTTGCTGGAAATAAGTGTGAAAATTGAGAGCTTGGACTGTGGGGAAGTCTCTTGACTGAAGGAGGAGCCGCAAGGTTTGATTTCCGTAGCATCAGATGTGCAGTTTTATAAGATCCTCGGCCCATGAGTACCCTTCTGTTACTGTCCCAGATGTCTATGGCATGCAATTCCCACCCCTATCCCCCCAAAAAGGACTCCTGTGATTCTCTCCCCAGTCCTTCACTCAGTTGTAAAGAATGCAGTTGTTTCTTATTTGCGAGAGCAGCTACGACATGGGGAAAGCTGAAGAAACCTGGCTTCTCTTGACCCAGGGGGTGGTCTGGATCGGCAAGGAGACTGTATCAAATGTAATGCAATAAAGAGCGACAGGTTGCTAAGGAAAAAAGATGTCTTGTGCTGTTATCTCGAGTCCACGTACCCAAGCCTTGGAGCTGCTTTTTGGCTCTATACAGCAAGGCTGCCGACCTGAGCTTGGAGATTCAGCTACATTTACAACTCTCCTCTGTAAAGCTACAGATCAGGTCCCTCCATAACTGAGGTTCTGCTGAGATGCCCACCGCTGGAACGCCAACCATCTAATCAAGCCTTGCACCACCGTTCTGCCCGCTTCCATCTGCTCTGCCATGGCAAACAAATGTGGGTTGGATCGTTTTAATGGCCACATGCTCAAAGCCACAGACCCATGACCACTTCAGGGCATTCTCCTTCTGCCCTGCAGTTGGGTGGTGGGAATGGGTCACGTGGCGTAGGCGCCAACTCCCCGGGGCACCCACGAAATTCCCCATGGAGGGGTCGGGCACCCCCTTTGGTGCCAAGGCCATGCACGCTGTATGGCACCCACGGTCGTGGGGCCAAACTGGCTCGGTGGTGAGCAACATTCCCCACCACCACCCATCCTTTTCAGTGTTTGTCCTTGGTTAGGGTCTAACATGTGATTCTGCCCTCCTTCCCGAGCTGCCCCCCTCATCCTTCGAAGGCATGGTTCCTATAGTAACAGAGCGCATTGTGTGGAAGCGTTATACCTCCGAATTGTTCTGTTGTTCACCGTCAAGGAACCTGGCCCTATCTAATTTCCCAGGCGCAGGGGTGAAAAGGGGAATAGAGCATAATAGCGCTGCAGCTGATTCTTTACTCGTGGCTGCCTTCAACTCTTTGGTTAGTATTGGCCGGGCGGCGGGAGAGTGTTATTTTTCTCCCGCTGCTGGGTGAGGGCCTCTGGCACGGGAAGGCCCATTTCCAAGGAGCAGTAAGAAATTGCAGCCTTGAAGCCGCCGTGCTTTTTGCACAAAGAGATTGGATTTATTAGCAAATCGGATACCACGGGCCTTGAGCTCAGCAAGGGCTTGGAGCGGTTTTTCTCCTTCTGGAAAACAAATGCCCCCCTTCAGCTGTTTGGAGCTATGTGCATTGCTATGCTGGGCTGCCGCCATTTGGAAAGAGGTTTCGCTCGGTCTCTTATGTTCGTAAGTGCTGCGCATGGATGCAAGACACACCTGCCCATTATCTCCATGGTTTTTTTAGGCATTTCAGCAACCCACCACATAAAAGGTTCCTGGTTATTTGTAACCTGGATTACGACACTGCGACCTGACATAGCTAGAGGAGCTGCCATATTGGGCCCCATCTTTCCTATACATTGAAAGCAGATTTTTAACCCAAAATGCATACAAAAAAACCTCACAGAGCAGATGCATTTGTCACTAGATTCCTGGTGAGTGTTTTTTTACATTAATATAATTTAATTTCTAAAATAGCAGGGGCGGGGATTATGCTACCTGGTGTGAAGTTTCTGGGTAGTACATACCCGGAGACTGGTGGTTATTTGTGTGTGTGTGTATGTGTGTGTGTGTACACACACACACACACACACACACACACACACACACGAAGCTCATTTGAAAAGCCACCTTCCCTTTTCTTCCTTGGGATTGCCAAAACTTGACATTGGCTCCCTTGTGACGCTTCCTCCTTTCAGTATTCAGATGTCCCCCTGGGGAATTTAACAGAGGCTAGACATCCGCAGGTTGCCGGCCTTCCAACTCACCGCCAGACCCAGCATTCCATTATGACATCACCACAAGGGAACAGGCTGGTGGGTGACATCACATGGGGACTGGCAATGTGGGAGGAGCTGTGAGTGATGTCACTTCTAGGCAAACAGATTGCTTATGTCCCGTACAATGAGGAATGATGGGATTGCTTCTTGTAGCTTCTGGTCTGAACATGAAGACAGAGGGCCTCTTTAGAACGAGGCTGAAATGCTACAGCGCCTTCTCCTGTTGCTAGCATCCTTCATGAGAATCTCCTATACAGGTAGACGGATTCTGTTTCCGCGGTACTTGGTTTATTCCTGGTAGCTAGGCGGCAAAAAGCCCTCAGTCTTGGTGCTGTCCACAGGAACCAGGGGAGGAAAGAAAACAGGTTTGAAACACAAGTCATCGTGCTTCAAGGCCCATGGCCAAGACACACGCTTCCAGCCAAGCCCGGCCTCACTTTCCCTAGTCTGCCATATGGGCATAAATCTTTCAGGGAATGAAATAATTCTGCTATCTCTTGACAGAGCTACAGGCCTTGCCCCCTGTGCATTGTGGCCTGTGGCCTGAATTCAAAGCCATCTCAGGATCAGGAGCAACGACTGCCTCCGAGATACTTCCCTGGCAGGCCAGCATCCAATCAAATGAGCTGCATTTCTGTGGAGGTGTGATTCTGAGCAGTTGGTGGGTCCTGTCTGCAGCTCACTGCTACACGGAGGAACTGTGAGTACTGAGGATTCCCTTTAAGTAGATAGCAAGTTGTCTTTAAAAAAAAAAAATTCCCTGTGTTATTTTAATGGATGAATTAAGAGTATGATCCATAAATAACCTTTGTCCCTGAGGAAGCTCACACTCCAAACACTCTTTGGAGCAATCTTCAAATAATAATGCTATATATTAATCGCAAACGCCTCCTTTGAGTATGGCTCCTAAGCACCATCCATACACAACAGGGAGGGATCAGCAGGCTCATGTTCAAATACATATATAATGAAAATTTAAGAATGTTGTCATGCTGCAGTTCACCTGGCTGCAGACAGGTGGTGCTATGAACTACAGTGTGATGGCAAGCTTGGGTTGCAGAGCTGTTAGGCCATTATAACAGGTAAGGAGGAGGGAACTGGAGATGAGAACAAGGGAAGGAGGCAGGAAGGCGGGTAGCTGGTGGCCCAGGTGAGTGAGCAGGCAGGCAGCCCACCCAGGTGAGCAAGCATTCCAGGCAAGCCGTAGAAGTTTGACATGGCCTGTGGGGAAGGGGTGGTTTTGACAAGGTGCAAAGAGACACTCGGAAGGGGAAGAGGAAGGAAACAGATGAGAGAATGGAACACAGAGAGACAAGTCAGCCAGGCGGCACATGGACCAGGTGAGTAGGTGGGCACCCCAGACAGGCGAGTGGGTGGCCCAGGGGTGCTTTGGGAAGGAGTAAGAGGAGCAGCTGTGCAGCTGTGTGTGTGTGTGTGTGTGTGTGTGTGTGTGTGTGTGTGTTTTAATACAGTTGTATCTTGGAAGTTGAATGGAATTGGTTCCAGAAGTCCGTTCGACTTCCAAAACGTTCGGAAACCAAAGCGCGACTTCCGATTGGCTGCTCACCAAAACGTTCGGAAACCGAAACACTCACTTCCGGGTTTCAATCATTTGGGAGCCGGTTTGTTCTGGAGCTAAGACATTTGAGATCCAAGGTACGACTGTGCTAGAAAAAAGAATACTCAAGGAGAGGGAGGTCAAATGGCTTAATGCTTAATGACTACTAAGCATGCCCATTGGACAGCGCTGCCCAACTGTTGGGTGGGTGGAATGGAAAACTGGGCAAAGAGGGAATGGAATGGAGTGTACTGAAAAAAGGGCAGAGCTGGCTTTCAGGAAACCTGTACAAGAATGTTTCCCACGGCAATGTTTTGCTGCATGTTCAACTTTCTGAGTACCAGCCTGAGGCTTTGCCTCTCATTTGTTTTGCTTCGTCTTGGGAATGGTGGGGGGTTTGGGGGAGAGCGCATGGATCCCAGCACACAAATGTTGCCCCACAAGCCTTCCCCACCCTTTCTAAGCTGTTTTATGCTAATTCAAGTCAATGGTTCATTGGGACACAGCCCTGGGGTTCATTGTTTGATCTTTGTTGATGCTCTGCCTCTGTTTCCTTTGTCCCCAAGTCCTTCAGATCTCCATGTGGTGGTTGCTTTGAATGGGCATGAATTGGAGAGAATGAAGTTGGACAGGGTGCTCATCCACGAGGAGTTTGACTGTACAAACCTGAACAACGACGTTGCTTTGCTCCTGCTGGCCTCCCCAGTAGAGTTCGGTGAAGAGAGGACTCCCATTTGCCTGCCCTTGCTGCAGGACCTTGGAGCGTGGCAAGACTGTTGGGCTGCAACTTGGAGATCCGCCACACCTGGTATTGCATTTTCTAGTCCAGGGCTCAGTCAAAAATACTCCCCTGAGTTTGCCACACACACATACATTCGCTGCTGTAAGTCGGAGCAGATGGGGTGTGTGAATGTGCAGGTATCCATTGGCTCAGTCTGCACTTCAAGGTGAAACTATCATCGTTCTACCCAGACACTGAGGTCCAGCTCCGAGGGCCTTCTGGCGGTTCCCTCACTGCGAGAAGCCAAGTTACAGGGAACCAGGCAGAGGGCCTTCTTGGTAGTGGCACCCGCCCTGTGGAACGCCCTCCCATCAGATGTCAAAGAGAACAACTACCAGACTTTTAGAAGACACCTGAAGGCAGTCCTGTTTAGGGAAGCTTTTAATGTTTGATGCATTACTGTATTTTAATATTTTGTTGGAAGCTGCCCAGAGTGGCTGGGGAAGCCCTGCCAGGTGGCGGGGTATAAATAATAAATTATTATTGTTATTATTGAACTGGGAACTCAGTGGCTTGTGACAGAGACCTCTCCACGAGATCTCACTGGGAGGAACCAGCACAAAATGATCTAGAGCAAGTGGAAACACCAGCCTTTGTAGCTGGCAGGCTATAGTTTTGGCCTCTGAATTGCCCAGATCTTTTGCGCTTGCCCTTGCCCTGGCCAGCAGGGCAACCCCTTTGCCCTGATGCCATGCCACCAGCATCCAAGGCCCCTCTTGGGCTTTGAGAGAAACAGCCTCTCCTTTTCTCAATTCCAGAGCAGCACAAGTCTCTGCACTGCACAGAGTGGCGAGGCCTAAACGAAGCCCCCGCCGTCCCATTCACCTCTCTCTCCTCCTCCTGTCATTTCTGAATGGCGCTGCCTCCCCCTCTTTCCTCTGTGCCTGCAGGCGACGAGAACACACCGACCAGAGTGCTAAAGAAAACGGAAATGTCTCTGGTCGGCGGGGAGACCTGTTCCAAGAGCGTACAGGGGCTGACGGAGGGCATGCTGTGCGCCGTCTCTGACGAAGGAGGGAAGGAGACCTGCAAGGTATAATGAACCGGGCCCTGTACTGCTGTGCCGCAGGCTGGGGAGGCAGGATGGATGCGGTAATGATCTTCGATCTCTTCCCCGGGCTTCCTGGGGGCTGCTAATGTTTCTCTGCACAGCCTCCGGAGAGATGGGGAAGACTTATTTTAGCAAGCTTACAAGTAGAGGAAGTCCTGGTCACCTACAGGGATATACAAGCCGCGTCCTCCAGTCTTGTTCTGAGTTCCAAAAAGGGGAAGAGAGATGTCTTCATGTTCCTTTATCCCTCCTTTTGATTATGTTTGTTCCTTGCCCTCCCTTTTCTCCTTCCCTCTCGTTAAGAGTTTGGGTGTAATCCCTCCCTTTCCATGGAGGCGCAGATTGCAGCTATAACAAAGGCGGCATTTTTTCATCTCCACCAAGCTAAGCAGTTGGCTCCTTACTTCTCTCGCCGTGACCTAGCCACTGTGATCCACGCGACGGACTGGATTATTGTAACTCGCTCTACGTGGGGCTGCTCTTGAGACTGACCCAGAAACTCCAGCGGGTGCAGAATGCCACAGCGAGGCTCCTTACGGGGTCCTTGCCGCGGGATCACATTCACCCGGTGCTATACCAGCTGCACTGGCTCCCGGTGGAGTACAGGGTCAGGTTTAAGGTGCTGGTTTTAACCTTTAAAGCCCTATACGGCCTAGGACCCTCGTACCTACGGGACCGTCTCACCTGGTATGTCCTACTGAGGACCTTACGGTCTTCAAACAAAAACATCTTGGCAATCCCGGGCCACAGAGAGGTTAGGCTGGCCTCAGCCAGAGCCAGAGCTTTTTCAGCCGTGGCCCCAATCTGGTGGAACGCTCTGTCACAAGAGACTAGGGCTCTGCGGGACTTGACATCTTTCCGCAGGGCCTGCAAGACAGAGCTGTTCCACCAGGCCTTTGGTCAAGGCACAGTCTGACCCCCTCCTTTGGCAATCCTCACGGAACTCTAGCCCAATGGTTGCCATTAATCTGATTTGAACTGATTTTAGAATGAACTGATTTTAGAATGTTGTATCATTTTACTGTTGTTAGCCGCTCTGAGCCCGGCTTCGGCTGGGGAGGGCGGGATATAAATATTTTATTATTATTATTATTTATTATTATTGTTCCCTCCTCTCCTTCCCCCTCCTCATTTTCTTGTCCTGCTTTTCTGCCTCCACTGTTACACACTGTGTGTTCGGAGGAGTGAGCTTGTGGCTGGAGGTGGAAACTCTTTAGGAAGAGATGCATATTCTTTACTCAAGAGGAGGGTTGAAACCAGGGCTCCCCCCCCCCAAGCCCGAACTCAACAGAACTTAGTTCCAGCACCTCTCAGGTGGGCGCCATTGCCATTATAGGAGAACGAGGGAGGTGTTTTTGGTGAATTCCAGCCCCTCTTTTTCTGGAAAAATAGCACTGGTTGAAACTGTATGGAAAATGCAGAAGGGAAAGGGAACAAGGGAGGGTGAGGTATTAATGTGGGGAATTTATAAACCACGTTATTACTATTTATTATCTATGGTGCGCCTTCACGTGTCGGGGGCTTTGAGGCTGTGAGAGCAGAGGACTCTTGCCTTGAGGGGCACCCAATGTTCAACACAGTGTAGATAACGAAAGAAAAGGCATGAATGGAGATTGGGGTAAACGGAGAAGAATGTGCCTTTGTTTTGGTTGTATCCATTGAAGTTTTTAGTAACAAAAAAAACCCTAAAGTGTCTGAGTTATCCGATAAAACTGAAAATCCACAATTCACGTTAGGGCCATTCCATGATTAGACCAACCCAATTGTCACTAAACTTTGGAAAAGCTTTTAATGCTTAAAGTCATTTGATGTGTAGACATTGAACACCTAGGCTGATGATGAAGGATTGTGGAAAACTCCCAACATTTGCGCACTATTTTCTGGTGTTTTGGCTGCCCATCAAGTGGCTTTTGTGTGAATTTTGGGGCTTATGGAGAGGAAAGTTTGCCTATGGACCTTGAGAGATTTGGGATACCTAACAGGTGTGTAACAACCCCTCACTGCGAATAATAGTGCAAAGATGGCAGCTTCCTTTCTGCTTCTCCAGAAAGTAGGGCCCGAAAGCAGTGCTTTCGAATTGCAGGAATGAAGATTCTAACTAAACCTTAGGAATAACTTTCTGGCAGTAGGAGCTGTTCATCAGTGCAATAGGTGACCTTGAAGGTTTGTAAACAAGAGTTTGGGTAGCCATCTGCGAAGGATTCATTCATTGCGATTCCTACATTGCGGGGGTTGGGCTAGATGAACCATGGGGTCCCTTCCGACGCCACAATTCTATGAGGATGTTGACCTCTTTCTCTTGTGTCCTTCCGACCTCTCCCAGGATGACAGTGGGGCTCCTTTGGTTTGCACTTCGGGAGAAGACAGGAGATGGTTTGCGGTTGGACTAGGCAGTCAGGGTGAGGCCTGCGAAGGAAAGGGCAGCCCCGCTGTCTACACTGTGGTTTTCAGCTACCTCAACTGGATAGAAGAGGTAACGGCCGAGGAAGGGAAACCATTTATCCCCGAAGGAGTGGACGTTGTTGTAGCCGATTCTGAAATCCCTCCTCCCGGTTTGGCTGAGATAGAAGAGGTGATGGCTGAGGAAGAAAATCCATCAATCCCGGAAGGGGTGGACGTTGTCATAACTCATCCCGAAATCCCCGTTCCCGGTTTGGCTGGCTCTCCCTTCCTTTCCGCCCCCTGTGCCATTGCTTCTGTTCTGATGTTGATGCTTTTCCGTTTATTGTAATAAAATCCGCTTTGCAAACGCCCTCTCTCTGTGTTGCATGAGTTCTCTCTCGCTTTCTTCATGCGTAAAATAAATAAAGCTCCGAAAACGAAACCCGAGGGCCGTCAAATGAACATGCTTCCTGCACGTTCCCCCAGGGCTGACTTCTTGGGGATTTTTGCAAGTAGTGGCACGTTTTGCAATACGGAGGGACATCTTGTGGTTACACTGCACACTGCAGCCAGAGAGAGGCTGCGCTGCAACAGAATTTGCTGTGTACATACATCAACTGCTGCTGTAGGCCACAGGCCACCTCTGGCCCACCCCTGGCAACCCAGAATTTGCCTCTGGCCCTCCTCTCTCAGACCTGCACCACCAGATATGCTACTCCGGGTCAGGATGCTACAGGAATGTGTGTCTCCCCTTTTGACAGATGTGCAGCATCACTCACCTGTCAATCACCTGATCTCAATCTCCATGACATCATGATGGGAGGGGTCATCCACAACATCTGGAAGGAAGCCGGTTGCAGAAGGATCGTTTGCATCACTGATAGTGCTGTTATTAATGGGTTTTGCCTCTCTGTATGCTCGCAAATCTGCAGTAAGAGCAATGGTTTGCAAAGAGGCTGCTGAGAAGTTCTCAGCGGGAGATGGGAATCATTCCTTTGCACCTTTATCTTTTCATTCCCTGCCTTGTGGAAAGTTTCCCCCTCTTCCTGCCACTTTCCTCACCGTGTGTGTGTGTGTGTGTGTGTGTGTGTGTGTGTGTCTTTTTTTAAGGCTGTTTACTGGCTGTGGGGGAGAGAAACTTTCTTTATCTCTGCAGCTCCTGGCATGTATTAGGCATTCGAATCAATAGTACTGACCATTTATTTCTTAGATAAAACAGAAATGCTTACCCAAAAAAATACACCAAGGCAGCATTCAGCATGCAAAATTACAATGAGGTAGATAAAAACGTCACCAAAGATTAAGATTAACGTTTTTGTTTAACCCATTCTGCATTCCACATATTGGTAATTACTGTGATGTTTTCTTTTCCAAATATGTAGAAGTGTTCGTTAAACCTCAACAAGTGTAATCTTTCTCCATGTCTGCTCTGATACTGCTTTTCTTTTGGTATCTTCTCTCATCCCTTTCTTTTTTTCCTCCTGTAATTTTATTCCTTCCCTTGTAATTTTAAAACTACAACAATTACATTTAAAAATCAGTACAAAAAATAATAAATACTAGTTCTTGTCGTTGTTTTAAAAAATCACTTTGCAAATGCATGCACTGCCACACAGTTTTAAAGGTAAAGGGGCCCCTGACCATTACGTCCAGTCGCGGACAACTCTGGGGTTGCAGCGCTCATCTCGCTTTATTGACCGAGGGAGCCGGCATACAGTCATGTGGCCAGCATGACTAAGCCGCTTCTGGCGAACCAGAGCAGCGAACGGAAACGCTGTTTACCTTCCTGCTGGAGTGGTACCTATTTATCTACTTGCACTTTGACATGCTTTCAAACTGCTAGGTTGGCAGGAGCAGGGACTGAGCAACAGGAGCTCACCCCGTCGCGGGGATTTGAACCGCCGACCTTCTGATCAGCAAGTCCTAGGCTCTGTGGTTTAACCCACAGCGCCACCCGCGTCCCTCGCCACACAGTTTTAGGGGATGTCTAAAAGAAAGCATAGATTATTCCTGCTGGGCCTCCACCTGCAGGGAGTGCCACAGAGCAAGACCTTCCATGCTAAAGGATTGGTCCCAAGTAAAGGCCGACCAAACCTCAGGGGTTTGGGGAACCACCAGACGTGCCCCACCCAAGGATCTCAGGGATCGAGTAGTAGTATAAGGAATCAGGTGGACCCCAAAGTGCGCTGGGCCCAAGTTGGTTAGGGCTTTGTAGATAAACACAAAAACCTTGAGCCTGGCCAGGTAGCAAATTGGCAGTTGGTGCAGCAATCTCAGTAGCTGACTACCCTGTTGCCAGTAGCCGCCTCCTGTGAGCAGTCTGACCGCTGCATTTTGCAGTAGCTGCTGCTGCCTGACCAAATGCAAATAGCACGTTGCAGTAATCCGTGATGTGACGAAGCCAGAGTTATTTGGTGGGGCGATCACACAGGGTCCCCGGATGTTTCACCGTCTATTGATCCCTGTGCCACCACTTGATTTCTCGCTGCCACCACACAGGCCCTACCTGGTAAAATACTGAGACCAGTCAGGGTTAAGTTGGAACATAAACTTCTGTTTATTTATTGCAGTTTAACAAGCGTGTGGTTTCATAAACGGTATCAGTCCATTACATTCATGGGGTGCCTATCCAGTCCTATAACGTTCGCTACCTGCTCTCACTCACTAAACCACCTCTCAGATATTTACTTGTCTTCCTAGCTCCTAACTGTTCCTGACTCAACTTATTTCGCTACACTCACTCAACCTACCCACAGACTCTATCCCAATTCACTCCCACTCCAACCAACCACCCAACTCCCAACGAACTCGTCCCTTCGCCCCTCCCAGAGCTGGTTTTATAGTCCCTCTGACTCCATCCCCTGGCTTCTGATTGCGTAACCTGTTTAACTATTTCACCTCCAGCACTCTCATATGTTAACGTCACACTTGGCCCCACCCATCATTGGTTAAGAGCAGTGGACTCGTAATCTGGGGAACCGGGTTCGCTTCCCCGCTCCTCCACATGCAGCTGCTGGGTGACCTTGGGCCAGTCACACTTCTCTGAAGTCTCTCAGCCTCACCTCACAGAGTGTTTGTTGTGGGGGAGGAAGGAAAAGGAGAATGTGAGCCGCTTTGAGACTCCTTAGGGTAGTGATAAAGCAGGATATCAAGTCCAAACTCTTCTTCTTCTTCTTCTCTTGCGCCACCTACTGTCTCGGCGTCCTGCCATCTGCCCTAAGAGTCCCAGGGGGTTCCAGCCATCACTGCTGAGACCTGAACGCAGTTGGGAGACCAGAGTGTTGCTGGGCTTGATGAGGACTTTGGAAAGGACCGTAGCTCAGTGTCCGAGCTTCTTCCCATGTTCCTGTCTCTCTGTGTGTTTATTCCCTCCCTTGTCGTCCCCCCTTGCTTGATGTGCCTAGGGCCTGCCGATCAGAAGGTCGGCGGTTTGAATCCCCGCGACGCGGTGATCTCCCGTTGCTCTGCCCCAGCTCCTGCCAACCTAGCAGTTCAAAAGCATGTCAAAGTGCAAATAGATAAATAGGTACCACTCCAGCAGGAAGGTAAACGGCGTTTCTGTGCGTTGCTCTGGTTCGCCAGAAGTTGCTTTGTCATGCTGGCCACATGATCCGGAAGCTGTACGCCGGCTCCCTCGGCCAATAAACAAGATGAGCACCACAACCCCAGAGTCGTCCGCAACTGGACCTAACAGCCAGGGGTCCTTTTACCATACTTTTCCGTGTATAAGACTAGGGTTTTATTATTTTAAAATTACGTTCAGAATTGTGGGTCGTCTTGTACACAGATACAATCTCCCCCCATTTTCTCAATTTGGAGTCCCCCCAAATAGGGGGTGTCTTATACATGGGGGCATGTTATACAGAGAAAAATACAGTACTTATCCCCCTTGGATCTTTCAGTGGGTGCTGGATTCCTTTTGGCATCAGTGGGGAGCATGGGAGAGGGAGGGCAGGGGTGTTAGAAGGGGAGCCAAGCAGTTAGCCAAGGCAAATAGTTCCTTGGAAGAGACTGAAGGAGGCTCAACTCAGCTCCAGGGGCTGAGTCTCCAGTGCAGACCGCACCGTCTTTTCAAGGAATGGAGTAGTTCCTCATTAAAGCCCCTAGGTGGCAGCATTGCCTTCCCCACCCACTAGGGTCCTTCTGCCTCCTCTGGAATATCTTCTGTTCTGCCTAGCAATGAGAAAACACTCCTGCTCTCGCTTCAAAACTGATGCCGTTTTTTAGGAGCTTTCTGGGCAAACTCTTTTTGGGGAAGGAACAGTGGCGGGGAGGCGAGACTTGGTTTATGAGAGTCTTTCCCTAGCTGGTCATGCCAGCCCATGCAAGCTCATAAGTGCAAACTGCCCTGTGGGAGTTTGCCAATCTTCCTAGCGCCTGGCATGCCTAGCGGTGGGCGATGCCAGGGGACGAGGTTTATTTCTTTGCAAAGCAAGAGAAGACTATGCATTTGTTCATAAAGTTATAAAAGTATTTCTAGACTGCTCTCTTGCAAAACCAGGGTCATACCTCAGGTTACAGACGCTTCAGGTTGCTTTTTTTGGGTTACGGACCCGCCGAAACCCGGAAGTACCAGAACGGGTTACTTCCAGGTTTCGGGGGTCAAGCATGTGCAGAAGCGCTAAATTGCTCTTTGCACATGCACAGAAGTGCTGAATCTCAACCTGCGCGTGCGCTGATGCGCCGTTGCAAGTTGCAAACACTGCAGGTTGCGAATGTGCATCCCACATGGATCACGTTCGCAACCCGAGCGTCCACTGTATAAAGGTAAAGGTAAGGTAAAGTAAAGGGACGTGGGTGGCGCTGTGGGTTAAACCACAGATCCTAGGACTTGCCGATCAGAAGGTCGGCTGTTCGAATCCCCGCGACGGGGTGAGCTCCCGTTGCTCGGTCCCTGCTCCTGCCAACCTAGCAATTCGAAAGCACGTCAAAGTGCAAGTAGATAAATAGGTACCACTCTGGCAGGAAGGTAAACGACGTTTCCATGCGCTGCTCTGGTTCGCCAGAAGCGGCTTAGTCATGCTGGCCACATGACCCGGAAGCTGTACGCCGGCTCCCTCGGCCAATAAAGCGAGATGAGCGCCGCAACCCCAGAGTCGGTCACGACTGGACCTAATGGTCAGGGGTCCCTTTACCTTTACCTTTTAAGGTAAGGTAAAGGACGCCTGGGTGGTTAAGTCCAGTCAAAGGCAACTATGGGAGTTGCAGCACTCATCTTGCTTCAGGCCGAGGAAGCCAATGTTTGTCCACAGACAGCTTTCCGGGTCATGTAGCCAGTATGACTGAACTACTACTGGTGCAACAGAACACCATGACAGAAGCCAGAACACACAGGAAAACTGTTTACCT